TGAGAGGTAGAGGCGACTGTGGCTTGATCAGCTTTACGGCTGTCCTCAGTTATAGAACCAGACAACGCAGTGTGTGATTGAATATGCATAATAAAATAAGGAAGAGTATGGTGAGAGACATGATGTAAAATCCACTTGAGCTGTGCAAACAAGGTTGTTAACTTCCTTAGAAAAGATCCTTCAATCTGCTAAATGATACCTTGAACATACTAAGTGTCAAGTTATTATATTAAGCCTTTGTTCCACAAAAATTTGAAAAGCTCGAGCCACTGCAGCAAGTTCAACAACTTGACCCGTCTATGATATGCACGTCTGACTGCCATTGTGTAGCAGCTGCATGCAGAGAATCACTGCTCAGGGTGTCTTGCTCGAGCCATCTGTAAATACAGTAACAGCATTAGGTACTGGAACATGTGCAAGTAAAATCTTTGTAGTAAGGGATAGATCACTCAAATTATGCAGTAACTGATGACTGGAGATTTGTCCAGTATAGTCAGCCATAGCATTTTGTAAAATGAGTGAATGCGCAAGCATCTAATTATGTCTATTTTAGTAGTGGGTATGTAGATGCAATCTACATTTGTAGGCAATGTCAACCTCACTGTATTAGTATTGCAAACATCTCCACACGTAATGTAATGATTTTTGAAAATGTATGTGGTAAGAATATCCATTTCAGGATGATGAGAGAATCTTTTCTTGAGGTATCCCACTGACATAACAACCTAGATTGTTGATAGGAGTTTGATATTTTTATAAGAGATACTGGAAGTGATAAACAAACACAATGGCTATACCAATGTCGCAATCATGTTACTGCAGAGTCTAAACATTGTAGTGCTTTTGGTGTTAATTGTCTTTTAGAGGTTATATCTGGGTCTCTTTTGAGTAGCTGGAATAGAGGGTGTAGCTCTTGCATAGTAATACCCAGAAGCAGTCACAACCATTTGATGGCTCCTAATGATTTTTCAGATCATTTAATGTCTGTACATGAGGTATTATTTTGAGGATTAGCAGTTGAATGGTATCAGATGTAATTTTCCATCCTAAATATTTCCATGGAGAACTGAGTTGCACCTTTTCTTCACCTATCTGGAAACCAACAGAATGGACTGCCTGCTGGACAAGCAGTAAAGCATCCTTTAGACCTTCTTCTTGTTCTGCTGCTATTAATCTATCGTTCATGTAATGATAAATAAGGATGTGAGGCCTAGCTTTTCATAGTGGTTATAATGCTTTTTCTACAGTCAATTGACATATTGTTGGACTATTAAGCATTCCTTGTAGTAAAACAGTGCAATGATACGGCTGAGCAGGGCTTTGTTGATTGATGGAAGGAACTGAAAAATCAAATCATGGTGCATCTTTTGGATGAAGTCCAATGGTAAAAAAATCACAGTCTTTTAAATTAATGACTACTATAGGCCAATTCAAAGGTAACATTGAAGGCAAAGGAAGACCAGGCTGCAGTTGCCCCCCCCACAGGCTCAATTAGTGTGCTGACAGCGCACAGGTTATTTAAAAGCCTCCACTTTCCGCCATTCACTTGACTTAATGATGGTAAGGTCCACCAGGCCTAAAAACTGCTGTCCTTTTACTAAGCATGGTAATGGCTTGTCTCTTCACATTTGTGTAGTCCATAACACGGCAGGTTTGTCTGTGCTCCCAAATCCACCAGTTCGGTCCCCAGTGCCAGGTTCAGCCATAGAATGAAAAGGAACTTGTGCTATTTTCTAGCATTTGGGAATAAAGCAAGGGAAAAGGCATCCATGCCATTATCTTAATCTCCTCATTGTAGTCAGCATCTGTAACTCCTGGTAAAACAAAAGTCCCATCCGTGTAGCAGAAGGACATCCTAATAAAAGGGCACTACGCCTGTCCCCAAGGGGGCCTGTTACACCTGTTGGAATGAGAGTCACATTGTGATCAGTCAGTGTCACTGACTGGGCGGTGGCCAAATCCACTCCAGCACTGCTGGTGGTGGCTGGTCTGACTGAGCAGGCCAGGCAGTGGCTCTGACCAATTTGGGACCGTATTTGTTGTAAGAGCGTGCAGTTTCAAACTCTTATTCTCGTTTCCCGGCAGACTGCATGGCTGTGCAGCAACAAAGAGTTTAGATCTGCATTCTCTTGCCCAATGTAGCTCCCTCCCACATCAGGGACAGGGTCGAGCCGGAACAGGACACGTATTTTTATTTGCTCACTTAGGCTTTTTACAGTCCTTTTGTCCATGAGCAGGTTCCCCACAATTCATTTTTTGAGCTGTCCCTGCACCTAGTCAGTACGCCAGCGTGTCTGCTAGCAAGGTCATTTTGCATCTTTTCGTGCCTACATCTTGACAGATTTTAATCATGTCAAGAATGGATGGATCTGCATTCTTTAAGGATTGTAGAACTTTTTGACAATCCGCATTTGCATTTCCTACTGCTAAGTACTTAAGCAAAATATCCCGCGCGGCTTGATTTTCCACTTGTCTCTCTAGTGTATGTTGTAAGTGGTCAAGGAACTTGAAGTAGGGCTCGGCGTGGGGGGGGGCGGAGGACGGCAGCGTTACGGCGGGCGACGGGGGGGGTGCGGAAGGCGGGAGCGTCACGGCTCTTGACGGCGGCGGGGCGGAGGGCAGGAGCGGCGCGGCGAGAGACCGGAGGGGGCGGTGGGCGGGAGCGGATCGCGATCTTCCTTCTCCCCGGGCGGGGGTGAGGTAGGAACGGCAGATCGAGTCCAGGCAGGAGCCGCGACACGGGCTGAGGGGCAGCGGCGGGGATGGGGGAGAGGCCGATGGGGAACAGTGGGAAGGATTTGTCCTTCGTCGTCGGATGTGTTTGAGCGATTCCGATGTTTGGTGCCAAACATCGTAAAAGCTTAGCGGCCGTTTTGTCTGTAGTAGTAGGAGCCTCCCAGAGCTTTGTGCCAGTTTTGTCCCGACAGAATACCCATCGAAAGGAAACCCAGTTATCGGAAACTCAGGGACAGCTCTGCTTATCCATTTAAGGAAAGCAGCTGACGCTGAGGTAGATACAGGCTGATTCTGAAACTCTAGAATTCTCCGTAGTCCTTAGAGATTTACTTGTCGCCCTTCGTTAGCGAGCTCCCCATCGTTCCCGCCTGCTCACCTTCAGTCCTGCAGAACGTCGCTCAGTGGGGCGGCACGGCCTCGGCTTGCTGTGCTCCGCACGGCGCCATTTGCTGCGTCTGAGGCACAGACTCAGAGGCGAACGATCCAAAACCGATTTGCTGCAGGTTCTCACATCCCTTACATACATTCATAAACCTTCTCTTGTAACTTTCCCACCCGCGTTCACACGTGGACGAAACATTTCCACAAATGCTCCGTAGCTCAGCACGCAGGTGCTTATCCACTCAGAGCCATGAGTAGTTCCTACCCGCACTCTCCTCTTCCAGTCAGGGTCATCACCACGCGGCCATCACACAGCTTACTTGACCGTTGTTCTCCTCTTCTTCTGGAGATGTCCTTGGTTCTCAGCGTTGCTTTCTCGTGTTGTTTATTTTGCTCCACAGCTTTCCTGTATTTCCACATATACCTGTCCAGATCTTAGCTTGCTTTAAAGTCTGTGACAAAGATCACCATTTCTGTGGTGGCATGGTTTATTTTTTCACCTTAGTGCACAATCACCCGTATCCCTACACTCCAATGCAATGCAAGAGAACTTTCCCCAGAAGGAGCATAATAAGCCTATAAAGTTTCTCTCTTGGAAGATAGTTCTTTAGCACCTCAGAACCGAAACAAGTAATTTTAATTCTTACTAGGGTTAAGAAAATGTACTGAAGACAGAAAAGATTTTTATTTTTTTTTTTAGCTAAACTGTTTGCTGCTAATTATCCAGTATTTTTAAAAGGAGACAGCCTTTTTAATCGTGGTGATGTATATGGCTGAAACTGTTAACCACACACCTACAGAGGTGGTGTTCCTTTTTAATGGACATAACTGAATGCAGGTTGTTCATTGCAAACTGACTGCTAGCTTTTACGAGCAGCTCAAGACACTCACTGTAGGCTTTTTTGGTGCTTATTTGCAGAAGGGTATAGTTGCCATATGTTACTGTTCTTCTCAAGCATGGGGTAGGCTTACTTTGCTAGGTTGCTTTGGTCTATGAAGTGAATTCCTAATGTCAGTTTTTGGTATATATGTTCTTATTGTCTTCTGAATGGGATATACTTTGATCATCTTCCTTGGATGAATCAGGATTGAAGCAGTATATTTTGTAAATGACAAATAATTGATAGAAACTGTGTGAACAATGGGTGGATACAGAAATGACTTAGCAGTAAAAAGTTGTGAGTTTTACTATTGTGCTTTTATTTTCCTTTTTTTTTCTTTCTTTCTCCATTTAAACATTGGATATTATCCCTTCACTAGCAGCAGTCCACTGGACCACAGGATTATTGTATATAGGGAAGGCTGACTTAGAAGAAACAGTTGGAAGAGTGTTTTTCTTGCTCATAAAAGCCATGATTTGGTAAGAGTAACTGTACAGCAAAAATCTGTTCCACTTAACTTTGTAAAGTGATCCTTCAAAGCTTCCAGTACCAGTAAAAGAAATTTATGAAATTGGGGTACATATATATATACTGTGCTCTCTTCTGTGATGTCTACTTTTTTGAGATGACAACGAACCATAATGCCACTTAAAAAAATACTATGAATATTGTTATTTTGGAGAAGTACTTATTTTCATCCATACAATAAAATTACAGACATATTTGGTTTTAAAACCTATCTTATTGCACACATACAAATAGTAAAAACAGAAGGAGTTTTACAAATTATTAAAAAATGGATTTAAAAGTAAACAGTATGTTTCTATTATTTTGCCCATAGGGAAAAATAAGTAAATACAAGTAATTCACATCTACCTTTATTAACTATTCAACCTTGCTGTTTGACTGTTGTAGCTGCTGCTTCTTTTTTTCTGGTTCATTGTAGCTGCTCATCTCTGTAGATAAATGTGCAGGAACACCACTTGCAAGTATCTACAGTAAACAAACAAATCAGAAAACTGCATTTTAGCTTCTACTATTCTGGTAATACGTTTACCTTCTACAACTACACTGTCCTCATGAGAAAATACTAATTATACTAATCACCAAGTGTTTAACATTGCGTAGGTATCACAGCTCAAATGCTAAGCAAGCAGCAGCATCCCTCCCAAATGAAGTGCCAGGAGTTATTTGGCATCATATTTTCTGGTGTTTACTATGCCTATCAAACTGAGTCCATGTCAGGCTCAGCGTGTGGCTCTGAACATAGCCCAGCAAAGGGACAGTACAGTATGGCTTGGTAGAAATTGGAAAAATGTGGGAGTACAAGAAGGACTGTACAGAGCAGCGGCTGTGGAGCAAGATAAACAGCAGGAGAACCAAGGACACCTTTAGAAGAAGGAACAGCTCGCAGCTCTGACTGGTAAGCGCCTGCATGAACGGTTGAGGAGTGTTTGTAGAATGCTCTGTTGACATTTAAAGGTGGATGGGAAAGTTGTAGGGGCGGATGTGAAATCTAGAAAAAGAAAACTTGTGAAGGTATATAAGCGATCTGAGAACTTGCAATAAAGGATTTTGATCATTCACTGAGTCCGTGCATCAGACACTGCAAATGGCACCCACTGCATGGGGCAAATCAAGGCGAGGCTGAGCGAGCCCGGGCAGCACCGCCCGACTGAACTACGGAGAGTAGCATTAGCTGGTATTCTTAAATAGATGAGCAAAAATGTCCTTGAAATTCCAAAAACTGGCTTCTCTCTTGATGGGGAGCTTCGGGACAAAATTGGCACAGAACTCTGGGAGGCTTCTATTACTATAAGACAGAACGGCTGCTAAACTTCTACCTGTTTGGCGTCAAATAATGGAAGGGCTTAAACAAATTCGACACGGAAGAATTTCTTCTGACTATTCCCTATCACTCTCCCTCCCCCCCCACCGCTGCCCCTCGGTGCGGAAAGCAGCCCCTGCCCGGACTCGATCCGCGGCTCCGAACCCCGCGGTCCGGGGAGAAATCGCGAGCCCTCCCCGCGCTCCCGCTCTCCGCCCCGCCCCCGTCAAGAGGCGAGACGCTCCCGCCCTCCGCCTCGCCTACGTCGCCTGCTGCTGCTGCATCTCTGCAGCCTGCATGTAACTTGGTTTTGTAACCAACTACAAGACAAGGACGGACCGGAACCAGAGGAAGTTTTTGATTCTAGTCCAGCAGATCGGGAAGACGAACCGAACATTTTCCTTCCTGACGATAAGCGGAAGGGAGCGGGAAAGAAAAATTTTTGTACAAGGTACTACGGTGCTTTAGAGCAGTGCAGAAAAGAAGCAACATCACAGGGCGATGCTGATACATTGCCTTTCCTCTGTTGTATCATGGAAATCAGCCTCCCCAGGGGGAATCCCTGTCTTATGAGGCAGTAAAGGAGCTAATGAAGTCAGTGAGAGATTATGGAATTCAGTCTGCCTTTATCTATAACCTGTTGCTTGCAATCAGTGACAGTTATGTTATGACCCCTCATGCCTGGAAAATTTTGTTACGAACGATCCTGTCTCCAATGTAATACACTGTATTTATGACTGAATACCGAGAACAGGCTATGAATAATTTGAATAACTTAAACCATATGTGTGGGGAAATCTCTGGACTTTCAGGACGTGTTAGAGACATAACAGCACACTAATGTGGTTAAAAGCTATTAGTCTGCTTTATTGTTAAGCACTACTCTATTTATACATATTAACAGAGCATTCTGCAAAACACTTTTAAACCGTTCACACAGGTGCTTAGCCAATCGGAGCCGTGAGATGTTCTTTCTTCTTCTGAAGGTGTCCTTGGTTCTCATGCTGCTTATTTTGCTCCGCAGCTGCTGCTCTGTGCAATTTTTTCTTACGTTCCCACACTTATGGGCATGGAGTAACTCATGGGGGAGCGGGTCTGGGCAGCACCTCAGTACCAGGCACAGATGCATAGGCAATGCCTTCAACAAATTAAGACTCTGGTGTTGCGTGCCATCTGTCAGATACCTGATCCTATTTTGTCTAGTGCCTCATTTACATGAATTAAGCAGGGGTTCTGCCGAGCCCTACTTCAAGTTTCTTGACTGTTTACAAAATACACTAGAGAGACAAGTGGGATATTTTGCTTAAGCACTTAGCAGTAGGAAATGCAAATGCGGATTGTCAAAAAGTTCTACAATCCTTAAAGAATGCAGATCCATCCATTCTTGACATGATTAAAGTCTGTCAAGATGTAGGCACGAAAAGATGCAAAATGACCTTGCTAGCAGACACGCTGGCGTACTGACTAGGTGCAGGGACAGCTCAAAAAATGAATTGTGGGGAACCTGCTCATGGACAAAAGGATTGTAAAAAGCCTAAGTGAGCAAATAAAAATACATGTCCTGTTCCGGCTCGACCCTGTCCCTGATGTGGGAAGGAGCTACACTGGGCAAGAGAATGCAGATCTAAACTCTTTGTTGCTGCACAGCCATGCAGTCTGCCGGGAAACGAGAATAAGAGTTTGAAACTGCACGCTCTTACAACAAATACGGTCCCAAATCAGTTGGCAACTGCCTGGCTAGCTCACTCAGACCAGTCACTGCCAGCAGCAAGAAACTTCGAGCAGTGGTTCTCTGGCATGTGACTGCTACATGATGGCAGTCAGACATACACGTTGTCGATGGATCACCTCAAATTGTAGAACTCACTATGGTAGCTCAAGGTTTTCAAATTTATTTAGAACAAAAACAATATATAATTGACTTTCTGTATGTTGCAGGTATCATTCAGCAGACTGAAGGATCTTTTCTTAAGGAAGTTAACAGCCCTGCTTTGTTTGTACAGCTCAAGTGAGTTTTATATTATTCTCTCATTGTACTCCTTCTTATTTTATCATGCATATTTGATCATACACTGCGTTGCCTGGTCCTATAACTGAGGGCAACCGTAAAGCTGATCAAGCCAAAGTAGCCTTTGCTACCCCTCAATTATTTCAGCAAGTGCAACTCTCCCATCAATTTTTCCATCTCATAGTAGAGCCTTACAAAAACAGTTCTAGCTGACAGTGGCTCAAGCCCATAAACACTGGTTATCTGCTTATGCTGCTGTCAGCTTCCCACATACTATAAAAACAGAGAATGGACCTGCATATACTTTTAAGGCCACTTGAACAAGAAAACTTGTGAAATTATATGTGATGTGAGAACTTGTAATAAAGGATTTGGATCGTTCACATCTGAGTCCGTGCATCAGACGCTGCAGGCAGCCAGCTTTTCCACAAGAGTGTTGTGTGGGACAGTGTCAAAGGCTTTACTGAAGTCCAGGTAGACCACATTGACAGCCTTACCTTCATCCTCTAAGCAGGTCACCTCGTCATAGAATGAAATCAGGTCTGTCAAACAGGATCTACAATACCAAGACTTGTTAGAGAACTTGCTTGCTTTCTTGCCAATGGACTGTTCGTTAAAACGTACTGAATACTTGTGTTAGAATATAATAAGTTTGCTTAGGAAGATAAAGCAGGGAATCTTCCTTCCTTAAAACCAATGTGTCATGTTACTGTCTTGTGACAATTGGTGCCTGAACAGGGACATGAACACGGACTTGACCTGACTTGCAGACTGACCGGTCCGGAGTGCACTGAGACAAACGTGGCAGACGTTGAGACAAACATGAAGAGCCTGTACAGGGATGCATTGAGACAAATGCGGCAGCCCAAGGATTCATCACCCTGTCATGGTTTGGTGGGTTTTTTGGTTTTCAGTATTCCACATCGGAACATCATGTAGTGCACTGGGAGTTAAAGTATTAATACTCAAATTCCAGGTTCCTATTCCTATACATCACAGAAGTCATGGGATCTGGCCCTTCCGGGTGGGGCGCTCTCTTACTGTCTTGCAGTGTGTGCTGGAGGGTGCTTTCCTAGCCATTCGAAGCTTTTCAGGTTTGACTCAGTCTTGGGATTCTCCCTCTTCTATTTTAATTGATTTATTAGTGTTAATTTCAATTAGATTGTATTATATTGTGTTATCTTGCATTCCGATATCATAGTTAGTAAACTAAGTTTTCCTCCATAGATTATTGCCGCTGGCTTTTTTTTTCCATCCTTGAGCCCATCTCCCATCTCCCTATCGCTTTTCCCTTTCCCTTCCATTTTGTGGGGCCAGGCGAGGCCCAGGGGCCTACTGCTCCCTGTCACGGGCATAGATTGATCTAGTTAACACGCCCCTAACCGCTCCGATGGCCTCTCGCTGGATGAAGGTAAGGGTGTGCACCACAGGGAACAAAATGACCTCAGAACAGAAAAACATTCTAGTTACTTTTCAATCTATCCTTAAATAACGGGGGTCGTCAGTAGCCTCCCTTGATCTATGGCAAATACTTGCATGGGCACCCAGGAACGATACCTCCATCACCAGTCAGACAGTTTACAAGCCAGAGTCTAGGGAAGGGATTGGGGTGAAACTGAAGGGCACATTCATTAAAGGTGATAAGGTGGCGTCCGGGTTGCATGAAACCTGGAGAAAAATTTTCAAAGCTTTATAAAGTCATGCGGGCCCATTGTTGGTCAACCCCAGTATACCAGAGAATGAAGGAGTCTCAGGCTCCGCCTCAGACTCACTTGCTGTGCCAGCAACCCTCTTGTTACCACCACTGCGGGGGAGGCTTGCGCCTCCCGTCCTGAGGGCCCTGACGATCCCTTTTTAATCCTGGCCCAATAGACACTGAAGGAGACTCCGATCCACACGATACATGGGTGCTCATTTGGAGGGAGGCTAGGAAAGCTGGAGACACAGATATGTTAAGGACATTGCCTGTTACCGTGGCCCAAAACCAAGAACCGCGGTGGGAAGCTATATTGTATAGCATCCTTCGAGATTTACGCCATATGGTCACAGACCATAGCATCGGCGCCCCGTACACTGTCAATTTGATTCAACCCATATGTGATAGCTCTGTTCTTACACTGCATTTTAAAATGACGCGTCATCTTATCATGATGTCATGGTTTTATTAATTTTCATTATTAGTATTCCACATCATAACATCATATAGTGAACTGGGAGTTAAAATGTTAATGCTCCAGTTCAGGGCACCTGTCCAGAAGAAAAGAACTACTACATTCCCAGAAGACTGTTCACCTTCTGTTATCATTCCTGCTCAGGAGGAACAGATATAAGGCCTTGGTAGGTCATCTAACGACACTTTTCTTTTGGCTCTCCTCCCTGCTGCTCAACCCAACTGTGCATCTCACCTCAGCAAATGGTGAGGCCTTCAACTTTCTCAGACACATGATCTCTCACCATATTTGATTTATTAGCTTCAGTTCAAATTGTATTGTATTATAGTGTGTTACCTTGCATTCCAATATCTTATTTAGTTTGTTTCTTCTCAGATCATTGCTACTGTTTTTAATTATTCGGGGTCCCTGTTTCCCTTCTCCAGAGGAACGAATTCACAAAATCTCTCCATTGCTCTAATCACTGAACTGGGCTGAACCAGCCCGTAAACCATCCACATTCTTGGTGGAGGATGCAGGGAAACGCTGCTTTTCAGCTTTTAGAACAAATCTCTGCTCTCATTAGGGAGCTTCATTAGGGAACTTTATCAGCACTTCAGATTTCTGTGCTGAAAAACTTGAGCTTGAAGTTGAAGCGTGCTGCCAGTATTCTGGGATATTTGTAAACATTGAGCACTGCTACCTTGTTTCTGTAAAGAGAAAAAAAAAAAATGCTTGCACTTGTAAAACTGCCTTTCAAGGGACTGCATGTGATTGCTTTTTCTTTTTTAATGCTCAAAATATACTGGGCCTTAATTAAGTATACATTGCTCTATGGAGCTATATGTATATATAATTGATTGAAAACACTGAAGGAAATACCTACCCGGTGTCATGGAACTTCACTCCAGAACACCCGAAAGACACCAAGAGCCTAAAAGGATACTTGAGACAGGGATGTTGTGGCTCTGGCAGATCTGAGAAGGCACAAATGATTTGTGGCCAGGCTAATTAAGCTATTCAATGGACTGTTGGCCAAGATCCCCTGGGATGCTGTCTTTAAAAACAAAGATGTTGAGGAGAGCTAGCTTCTCTTCAAGGATGCCTTCCTGAGAGCACAAGAGCTCTCCGTCGCTCTGAATAAGAAAGCGGGCAGAGGAGGGAGGAAATTGGCATGGCTCAACAAGGAACTGCTGAGAGTGCTGAGGGCGAAGACAGGTGAGTACAAGCTCTGGATACAAGGGCGTGTCACCTGGGAAGAATAGAGGGATGCCGTCTGGACTTGCAGACGTGGGATCAGGAAAGCCAAGGCGCAGGCGGAACTGAACTTAGCGAGGAACATGAAAAACAGCAGGAAGACTTTCTACAGGTACACTGGCCAGAAGAGACAGGCCAAAGCGAGTGTACCTCCTTTGGTAAATGTAAAAGGAGAACTGGCTTCAGCGGATGAAGAGAAGGCTGTGGTATCACAGAATCACAGAATTGTAGGGGTTGGAAGGGACCTCCACAGATCATCGAGTCTAACTCCCCTGCCAAAGCAGGTTCCCTACACCAGGTTGCACAAGTAGGCATCCAGGTGGGTCTTGAATATCTCCAGAGAAGGAGACTCCACAACCTCCCTGGGCAGCCTGTTCCAGTGCTCTGTCACCCTCACCGTAAAGACGTTCTTGCACATATTTGTGCGGAACTTCCTATGCTTCAGTTTTTGGCCATTTCCCCTTGTCCTGTCTCCACATACCGCTGAAAACAGTCTGGCCTCGCCACTCTGCCCCCCAC